GTAGAAACAGCAAATAAATACTTTAAAGAAATTCGACATCGCTGGTTATTGGAGGAATACAAATTGAAAAAACTCTTGAGATTGCGGCCAGAGGAGAATAACGCTTATCAAGAAATCAACCAATAACAAATGCTGGCAGGGATGTGGGGAAAAGGAACCCTTCTCCCTTGTTGGTGGGAGTGCAGGCTGGTGCAACCACTGTGGAGATTTCTCAAAAAACTAAAACTAGAGGTCCCATTTGACCAGCTTGGTACCTTCCTGAAAGAATTAAAAGCATCACACCACAGCGATATATACTCACCCCTGTTTATAGCGGCACAGTTTGTAACAGCTAAAGCTTGGAAACGGCCCAAATGCCCATCAACTGACAAGTAGATAAAGAAGACGCTTTTTTTTTCAGAGTTATTCATTTTTAATTGTATAAAACACAGGAAAAATAGAGTACAAAACCAGGTATTTACCCCACACATCTCCTAATCCTCTCCTTCACATACTTTGCTGCTGTTAGAAGATGCATTTTTAAAAAATACACAATGGGGTACTACTAGTCTGCCATAAAGAAATATAAGCTTGATTCATTTCTATCTCTAAGTGTATGGACCTTGAGACCATATGCTTAAGTGAAATAAATCAGACACATGTTTAAATACCACATTGTTTCTCTGGTTGTGATAAACCAAAAGTGGAAATAAGGACCAAAATGTATAATAGTCTGCAGCAAGGCTCCAAACAGCAACATAATTCACATCAGCAGCTTCCCCCAGGCTTCCTTTTTTCATTCTTTTTTTTTTTTTAAAGACAGTGTCTTGCTGTGTGGTCCAGGCTGGCCTCAGACTTGTGTGATCCTTCTGCCTCAGCCTCCCAAGTTCTAGGCGCGCACTACCGCGCACCTGGCTTCGTGTGGGTCTTTGTCACTGCACATCCAGACCGCTTTGGACACTTCTTTTTCTTCCTGGACAGTAATGATTGCAGATCTGCTTTGCTTCATTCCGGTCTTTCATTCTCTCTCTACCCACCTGTTCCCAGCAGATGATCTTGATTTCATAAAGAACATAGAACTTCACTTCCTGCCGCAGGATCTGCGGCCACACCTGAATCTGCAGCCGTATCCTCCTTCCCCCAGGCCTCCTCCTCTTGCCTTCTGAGAATTTCTCCAAGCTGAGCTACGTATGCGGCTCAATGGTAGAGTACGCACTCGGCTTGCGTGAGGCTCTGCGTCCAACCCGTAGCACCGTATATGCAAAAAAAAGGATTTGTCCCAAAGAACTAAGAGCATAAATGCAGCAATTCATGTTTTGTTTTGTTTTTTTGGTGGAGGAGCTGGGGACTGGCTCCTGCAGGCAAAGTGCTTTACCACCGAGCTGCACACCCAGCCCCTGTGTCTCACCAGACAAAAATACTATGTGAGTCAGGTGATAGTGTGTTCATACGGTTAATTATTCCATTTGTATACGTAATGGAAACATTACACTGGACCCCGTGTATCTTTACAGTTATGACTTGTCAGCTAATAAGAAACCATGTTTTATTTATTTTTCTTTTATATATATAAAGCATATATAAAACATATATATATATCAGAACATTACATTGTACCCACAAACGTTTTGTCAAGCAATAAAAATGAAAAAAACTACACATTCCTACTTCAGAAACCTCTTCTGTTTTCAGTGACGTAACTTCGGTCAGCTCCATGAGGCCCTCCTGTCAGCATTTACATGGAGCATCCTCTTCCCAGTCTCACTGCTGTCTCTGGCCCCACACTTCCCTGTCCCCCCGTCATCTAACACCACACACAACACGAGAAATAAATTCCTCTCGTAGCTTCCATGACCTCTGACTTCCATCCTCCCCGCTGTCTTTTCTTAGGGCTCTACTTGTCTCAAGGAATTTTTTTTTTGGTACCAGGGATCGAACTCGGGACCTTAGGCTTGCGAGGCAGGCGGCGGAACCACTGAACTAACTCCCCGGCCCCTTATCTTAATGAACTTTGATGCTAACGTGTTGAAGTCTTTTAGGGCTTTGTTCTTGTCCCTTTTCTTTTCTCACTTTATTCCCTCTTTCCAGGTCATTTCACCCACTCCTGTGGCTTTGCAAAAGACTCCCAAATTTCTGTTTCTAGCCCAGACTCTCTTTTGAGCATTATGCGTGTGCACCCAGGTGCCTGCCCCCTCCTCACTCCGACAGAGGTAAACTAACAGCTCTGGCTCCTGCCCTTCCTCTTGTGCTGAACATGCATACTTTTTGTTTTTGTAGACTTTCCTCCCTATTAGCTGACAACACCTTTGCTCATAAAAATAATAATGCCAGAGGTCTGGGCATTCTGAGAATCTCTCTCCCTATTCTATATTCTCTCTTTTTATTGAGTTTATTGGTACATTTGAGGTCTACAGGACAGTTACATTCATTACTGGGATCTTGTGCCTTTACATGCCAGGTCTTGGTTCTCATTTTCCTATTCTATACTCTCTGCCCCTCTTTCCCTCCAGAAATTACCACATCCTGTAAATTCGGCTTCCCAGGCATTTCTTCCTGGGTCTTTCTGCTCTCTGCTCTCTCATCTGCACCGTGAGTCCGACCTCTCTTTCCCGGGCCGATGCCGCAGCTCCTAAGCAGTCTCCCTACTTCTCTTGACCTCTCTCCTGTGATCCCCTCTCTGCGTTTCTTCCAGACAAGAATAAAGTAACAATGTGATCACATCTCTCCCCTCCTTCAAATACCCCCGTGTGACCTCCCAGCCAAGGAATAAGTGAAAAGGCGGTTTCCGTGGAGGGCTGGCTCCAGCGGATGTGTATGGAGCCGTTGAAGTGTGCGTACCCTTCAGCCCAACCCTACAACTCCCCTGTAGGTGTGTGTCCCAGAGCTTCGCTCACAGACGTGTGCGGAGACGTGCACCGAAGTGGCTGCCTCAGCCTTGCACCCTGCAGCCTAAATGCACGCGCAGAGGGTCACCACCGAATGAGCCAGGGCGCCTGCATACAGGGGCTCTGCGACATTATGCAAAGTGAGGTGGGCCAGGGAAGGGGCTCCCAACACACTTCCGGTGAGAAAAGCCATCGCAGATGATTATGTATTGACTTACTTTGTGCGAAAAGAAAAAGAAAGCTATCTAAACTAAACAGGAATATAGGTATGGAAAAGTATGTCCCAAATTGGTGATAGTGGAAGTTACATCTAGAAGGGACTGCAGTGAGGGGAGGGTGTCAGAAGACAGCCTTGCCCTTGTATGATTGTTCACGTTCTTTTTTTTTCTTTAGACAAGGTCTCACTATGTAGCCCAGGCTGGCCTTGAATTCACAGAGATCCTTCTGCCTCAGCCTCCCAAGTGCTGGGATTACAGGCGTGCGCCACCATGCCTGGCACATTTTAAAAATGTGAATGAATTTGTGTTTTCTGAAAATAAAAGTAAAAAAATTTTTTTTTCATATTTCCTTCTATATTCCCTCAGGAGAAGATGCAAAGCTTTGTAGCCTCCCCCAAGGCCTTTCCTGTGAGTTCTGCCTTACTGTTGTCTAGCACGTTAGGGTTGAAATCTAGAATGCTCCCCAAAAGCCTCCTGTGTTCAGGGACAGGGCTTTTGGAAGGTGAGTGGATCGCGGTGCATTAGCCCGCTGATGCATTCCCTACTGACTACTTGGTGGGAGGGACCTGGTTAGAGCCAGTTGTGGGAGTGAGGTAGGGCAGTGTGTTGTGTGTCCTTTCCCCTTCGCGCCCTCTGCTTCCTGCCTCCCATGCCGTCAGCAGCCCTCCTCTGCCCACGCCCTCCCACCACGCTAGACATCTCTGTGTTGGAGCCTGCCAACCACGGACTATAACTTCTGAAGGTGTGAGCCAAAAGAAAGTTGAAGGTGTAGCATGTGGTGCCTGTTCTGGGTGTGGTGGCACACCCCTGTAATCCCAGCACTCGGGAGGCTGAGGCAGGAGGATCCCAAAACTTAAAGACCAGGTGGGCTACATAGTGAGTTCAAGACCAGCTTGAACTACATGGTGAGATCCCGTCTCAAAAGCAAACAAAACATATTGTGCCTGCTGGACAAGGAAGGTGACTCAGGCACAGCCGCATCTCGGTCCCTTGGCCCCTCAAGTATTAGAGGCACTGCCTGCCCAGTGACCAGAGTTTTGCTTGCCGCGTTCCGGCTCTGCAGTCTCCATCACTGCTCAGACGGGCCGGGTTCCTTCACAGGTGCTGCTCCCTGCCCGGGCGGCTCCCCAACTCCGTTCTGTCCTCAGTCCCAGTCTCCCTCCATGTGCTTGTCTGAGTCCTGATCATCCTCGAGAAAGCGTCTGATTTTCCGGGCCTGTCCTGACCCCCTTTCGACCAGATCTGTCCTTCCCCTTACCCCCATTCTGTCCTCGGTTTTTCCTTTGGCCTCTTTATGACCGCTGCCATCAGGAGTGTGACTGCCCGCTGTCTGTCTCTCCCCGGACAGGGGCATTTGCGTGTTCACTGCTGTACAGGCAGCTCACAGCCCAAAGCACAACCTATCGTAGGTGCTCAGTAAGTCTGAACGTTTTCTGTCTGCTTCTAGAGGTGCGGTGATTCATACAAAAGTTTTAAGAGACAACAAAAGAACTCACAGATGTCTAAAGGAAACATAATAACTCTGAGAACTGCACACTTTAGTAAACCTTGTAACTGTTTTCTTGCTACATGCATCTGCTGTATATTTTGTATCTGTTTTCAAGATGTAACTTTTAGCCCATTAAATACATCTAAGATGGTTAGTGTTGCTAACAGTACCACGGTGAATACCTTTTGCTTTCTAGCCTAAAACACTTTGATTTCTCTCCAGTGCGTGGTTCATGTATGAAAACAAATTTGGCACGTTCTTCACATAGACGATTCCAATCTGGCTTCTTTTCAGACCTGGACAGGAGTCAGTATTTCTGTTTCTCGATGCTTGCGTTGTCCCTGGGGACCAGCGTTCTACCCTGTAATAATCAAGTGACCCGGAAGCAGCAGCCCGTCATCTTCTAAGCGTGTCGTGTTTCCTACACAGGCAGACGAAGCCTATTGCATCGGCCCTGCCCCCTCCCAGCAGAGCTACCTCTCTATGCAGAAAATCATCCAGGTGGCCAAACTCTCTGCTGCACAGGTAAGGGTTGTGAAGATATTTACAATGCAAAAGGAATATTTTCTATGGTTTACCCAAATTACTTATTTGTAAAAGTTATTTTCAATTTTTAGTTGAGAATTTTGCATTTGACTGACGAGTTGTCCCTGAAAACGTGGAACGTCCCTTCCCACCCCTCAGTCCCTCTGCCGTGTTACTAAGCGCAGTGTTCACTTGCTTTCTTCCTTTTTCCTTCCTTTCCTTCCCATACAAGGATCAAGCTCAGGTTGTTACAAGACAGGTGCAGCACCACTGAGCTAAATCCCCAGCCCATTCTTTCCTTCCTTCTTTCTTTCCTTTCTTGACAAAGGTTCTCACTATGTAGTTCAGATGGCCTTGAACTCACTGCATACTGCAGGATGGCCTTGAACCTTCAGCAGTCCTCCTGCCTCAGCCTCATGAGTGCTGGGATTACAAGTACACTACCATGTCCAGTGTGCCTGTGTAGTTTAGATCTTTTGGGAAATAAATGGAGGGAAAGTCTAAACTGTAAATTAAAACTAAGAATTCATGCTGGGTGTGGTGGTGCATGCCTGTAACCCCAGCACTTGGGAGGCTGAGGCAGGAGGATCACTGTGAGTTCAAGACCAGCCTGGGCTACGTAGTGAATTCCAGGTCAGTCTCAACTACATAGTGAGACCCTGTCTCAAAAAAACCAAAAACCAAAGGAGGAGGGGGAAGAGAGACAGAGAGAGATAGGAACCAACTTGTGTTGAATCTTTCACGGAAATGTCTTCAGAAAGAATTCCTTCTGAACTCCACACAGCCATGTCTTATGATCACTTACTTGGATTTTGGAGTCTCAGATGATTTTTCTACTTTTAAATCTCTTATTTCAATTTTCTATATTACTGGATGACCTTTTTTCTTGTTTTCTGGACTGGGGATTGAACCCCTGGCCTTCACACTGAGCCACATAGCCAATCTTTTTAAAATTCTTATGTTTTGAAACAGATTCTTGCTAAATTGTCCAGGCTGGGGTTAAACTTGCAATCCTCTTGCCTCAGCCTCTCTGAGTGCTGGGATTACAGGCGTGAACTACCACACCTGGCTAGGTGAACATTTCTTTTCATTTCATTTCTTTTTTTTTTTTTTTTTTTAAAGAGTAGGAAGGGTTTATTACAAGAAAGATCCTGAGAAATAGGAGGGATTCTGAAAGGGGTTGCCACTGAGGTCCTTCGTAAGGGGTAATTTATTCTAAAAAAAATCACAGCATGGGTACAACATGGGTCAAACTACAGTCAACATATAGGGTTACAAGTATAGCCTCTTAGCTGATCTTGATCCCATAGGGAAATGAGTCACATAGCAAGGGTGCATGGAAAGATCGAATGAATTCTTGGAAACAAGGGAAATAACAAGTCCGGGAGTTCTGTTCACCCCGTGTGTCTGACTCCTATCTCGGCCCACTGGACCCGGTGGTGCTGATTACAGTGTAATCTCAAGTCGCTGTTTATCTCCAGGAAGACAGCAGGTCTGTCTATTGCTCTTCCATCCTGAGGTCTCTTCAGATTCACCTAAGCACAATTCTGACATCTGTGTGTGTGTGTGTGTGTGTGTGTGTGTGTATTTTTCTGTACTGGCTTCCCTGAGGGCCCAATTCTTTGACTGTATATTAATTTCAATACAGCCTGGCCGCCTATAACATCTTTATCGAACTTCTCATTTTGTGCAGCATTATGGTGAACATTTCTTAAATACATTTTGTTATTGTCTGCTGTTCCTACCCTTGTTTTAATAACCTAACACCAAAAAAAAAAAAAAAAAATACCCTAACACCTTTCTTGTCCTATCCTTTATTTAGCAAATCATTAGCTGTTACAAGATAAAGTTCAAACTTAGCTTTTAAAAGAGTTTCTGGTATGGTCCTATTTTATTTGTCAATATTTATGTTTCATCTGGGTTTTCATGCGTGTGCTTTTGGCTTTTTTTTTCTTTAATATAGTACCTGGGGGTGAACCCAGGGCCTCACGCATGCTAGGCAAGCACTCTACCACTGAGCTATATCTCCAGATCTTCCCCCGCCTTTTTTTTTTTT